TGATGATGATGATGATGATGATGATGATGATGATGATGATGATGATGATGATGATGATGATGATGATGATGATGATGATGATGATGATGATGATGATGATGATGATGATGATGATGATGATGATGATGATGATGATGATGATGATGATGATGATGATGATGATGATGATGATGATGATGATGATGATGATGATGATGATGATGATGATGATGATGATGATGATGATGATGATGATGATGATGATGATGATGATGATGATGATGATGATGATGATGATGATGATGATGATGATGATGATGATGATGATGATGATGATGATGATGATGATGATGATGATGATGATGATGATGATGATGATGATGATGATGATGATGATGATGATGATGATGATGATGATGATGATGATGATGATGATGATGATGATGATGATGATGATGATGATGATGATGATGATGATGATGATGATGATGATGATGATGATGATGATGATGATGATGATGATGATGATGATGATGATGATGATGATGATGATGATGATGATGATGATGATGATGATGATGATGATGATGATGATGATGATGATGATGATGATGATGATGATGATGATGATGATGATGATGATGATGATGATGATGATGATGATGATGATGATGATGATGATGATGATGATGATGATGATGATGATGATGATGATGATGATGATGATGATGATGATGATGATGATGATGATGATGATGATGATGATGATGATGATGATGATGATGATGATGATGATGATGATGATGATGATGATGATGATATGATGATGATGATGATGATGATGATGATGATGATGATGATGATGATGATGATGATGATGATGATGATGATGATGATGATGATGATGATGATGATGATGATGATGATGATGATGATGATGATGATGATGATGATGATGATGATGATGATGATGATGATGATGATGATGATGATGATGATGATGATGATGATGATGATGATGATGATGATGATGATGATGATGATGATGATGATGATGATGATGATGATGATGATGATGATGATGATGATGATGATGATGATGATGATGATGATGATGATGATGATGATGATGATGATGATGATGATGATGATGATGATGATGATGATGATGATGATGATGATGATGATGATGATGATGATGATGATGATGATGATGATGATGATGATGATGATGATGATGATGATGATGATGATGATGATGATGATGATGATGATGATGATGATGATGATGATGATGATGATGATGATGATGATGATGATGATGATGATGATGATGATGATGATGATGATGATGATGATGATGATGATGATGATGATGATGATGATGATGATGATGATGATGATGATGATGATGATGATGATGATGATGATGATGATGATGATGATGATGATGATGATGATGATGATGATGATGATGATGATGATGATGATGATGATGATGATGATGATGATGATGATGATGATGATGATGATGATGATGATGATGATGATGATGATGATGATGATGATGATGATGATGATGATGATGATGATGATGATGATGATGATGATGATGATGATGATGATGATGATGATGATGATGATGATGATGATGATGATGATGATGATGATGATGATGATGATGATGATGATGATGATGATGATGATGATGATGATGATGATGATGATGATGATGATGATGATGATGATGATGATGATGATGATGATGATGATGATGATGATGATGATGATGATGATGATGATGATGATGATGATGATGATGATGATGATGATGATGATGATGATGATGATGATGATGATGATGATGATGATGATGATGATGATGATGATGATGATGATGATGATGATGATGATGATGATGATGATGATGATGATGATGATGATGATGATGATGATGATGATGATGATGATGATGATGATGATGATGATGATGATGATGATGATGATGATGATGATGATGATGATGATGATGATGATGATGATGATGATGATGATGATGATGATGATGATGATGATGATGATGATGATGATGATGATGATGATGATGATGATGATGATGATGATGATGATGATGATGATGATGATGATGATGATGATGATGATGATGATGATGATGATGATGATGATGATGATGATGATGATGATGATGATGATGATGATGATGATGATGATGATGATGATGATGATGATGATGATGATGATGATGATGATGATGATGATGATGATGATGATGATGATGATGATGATGATGATGATGATGATGATGATGATGATGATGATGATGATGATGATGATGATGATGATGATGATGATGATGATGATGATGATGATGATGATGATGATGATGATGATGATGATGATGATGATGATGATGATGATGATGATGATGATGATGATGATGATGATGATGATGATGATGATGATGATGATGATGATGATGATGATGATGATGATGATATGATGATGATGATGATGATGATGATGATGATGATGATGATGATGATGATGATGATGATGATGATGATGATGATGATGATGATGATGATGATGATGATGATGATGATGATGATGATGATGATGATGATGATGATGATGATGATGATGATGATGATGATGATGATGATGATGATGATGATGATGATGATGATGATGATGATGATGATGATGATGATGATGATGATGATGATGATGATGATGATGATGATGATGATGATGATGATGATGATGATGATGATGATGATGATGATGATGATGATGATGATGATGATGATGATGATGATGATGATGATGATGATGATGATGATGATGATGATGATGATGATGATGATGATGATGATGATGATGATGATGATGATGATGATGATGATGATGATGATGATGATGATGATGATGATGATGATGATGATGATGATGATGATGATGATGATGATGATGATGATGATGATGATGATGATGATGATGATGATGATGATGATGATGATGATGATGATGATGATGATGATGATGATGATGATGATGATGATGATGATGATGATGATGATGATGATGATGATGATGATGATGATGATGATGATGATGATGATGATGATGATGATGATGATGATGATGATGATGATGATGATGATGATGATGATGATGATGATGATGATGATGATGATGATGATGATGATGATGATGATGATGATGATGATGATGATGATGATGATGATGATGATGATGATGATGATGATGATGATGATGATGATGATGATGATGATGATGATGATGATGATGATGATGATGATGATGATGATGATGATGATGATGATGATGATGATGATGATGATGATGATGATGATGATGATGATGATGATGATGATGATGATGATGATGATGATGATGATGATGATGATGATGATGATGATGATGATGATGATGATGATGATGATGATGATGATGATGATGATGATGATGATGATGATGATGATGATGATGATGATGATGATGATGATGATGATGATGATGATGATGATGATGATGATGATGATGATGATGATGATGATGATGATGATGATGATGATGATGATGATGATGATGATGATGATGATGATGATGATGATGATGATGATGATGATGATGATGATGATGATGATGATGATGATGATGATGATGATGATGATGATGATGATGATGATGATGATGATGATGATGATGATGATGATGATGATGATGATGATGATGATGATGATGATGATGATGATGATGATGATGATGATGATGATGATGATGATGATGATGATGATGATGATGATGATGATGATGATGATGATGATGATGATGATGATGATGATGATGATGATGATGATGATGATGATGATGATGATGATGATGATGATGATGATGATGATGATGATGATGATGATGATGATGATGATGATGATGATGATGATGATGATGATGATGATGATGATGATGATGATGATGATGATGATGATGATGATGATGATGATGATGATGATGATGATGATGATGATGATGATGATGATGATGATGATGATGATGATGATGATGATGATGATGATGATGATGATGATGATGATGATGATGATGATGATGATGATGATGATGATGATGATGATGATGATGATGATGATGATGATGATGATGATGATGATGATGATGATGATGATGATGATGATGATGATGATGATGATGATGATGATGATGATGATGATGATGATGATGATGATGATGATGATGATGATGATGATGATGATGATGATGATGATGATGATGATGATGATGATGATGATGATGATGATGATGATGATGATGATGATGATGATGATGATGATGATGATGATGATGATGATGATGATGATGATGATGATGATGATGATGATGATGATGATGATGATGATGATGATGATGATGATGATGATGATGATGATGATGATGATGATGATGATGATGATGATGATGATGATGATGATGATGATGATGATGATGATGATGATGATGATGATGATGATGATGATGATGATGATGATGATGATGATGATGATGATGATGATGATGATGATGATGATGATGATGATGATGATGATGATGATGATGATGATGATGATGATGATGATGATGATGATGATGATGATGATGATGATGATGATGATGATGATGATGATGATGATGATGATGATGATGATGATGATGATGATGATGATGATGATGATGATGATGATGATGATGATGATGATGATGATGATGATGATGATGATGATGATGATGATGATGATGATGATGATGATGATGATGATGATGATGATGATGATGATGATGATGATGATGATGATGATGATGATGATGATGATGATGATGATGATGATGATGATGATGATGATGATGATGATGATGATGATGATGATGATGATGATGATGATGATGATGATGATGATGATGATGATGATGATGATGATGATGATGATGATGATGATGATGATGATGATGATGATGATGATGATGATGATGATGATGATGATGATGATGATGATGATGATGATGATGATGATGATGATGATGATGATGATGATGATGATGATGATGATGATGATGATGATGATGATGATGATGATGATGATGATGATGATGATGATGATGATGATGATGATGATGATGATGATGATGATGATGATGATGATGATGATGATGATGATGATGATGATGATGATGATGATGATGATGATGATGATGATGATGATGATGATGATGATGATGATGATGATGATGATGATGATGATGATGATGATGATGATGATGATGATGATGATGATGATGATGATGATGATGATGATGATGATGATGATGATGATGATGATGATGATGATGATGATGATGATGATGATGATGATGATGATGATGATGATGATGATGATGATGATGATGATGATGATGATGATGATGATGATGATGATGATGATGATGATGATGATGATGATGATGATGATGATGATGATGATGATGATGATGATGATGATGATGATGATGATGATGATGATGATGATGATGATGATGATGATGATGATGATGATGATGATGATGATGATGATGATGATGATGATGATGATGATGATGATGATGATGATGATGATGATGATGATGATGATGATGATGATGATGATGATGATGATGATGATGATGATGATGATGATGATGATGATGATGATGATGATGATGATGATGATGATGATGATGATGATGATGATGATGATGATGATGATGATGATGATGATGATGATGATGATGATGATGATGATGATGATGATGATGATGATGATGATGATGATGATGATGATGATGATGATGATGATGATGATGATGATGATGATGATGATGATGATGATGATGATGATGATGATGATGATGATGATGATGATGATGATGATGATGATGATGATGATGATGATGATGATGATGATGATGATGATGATGATGATGATGATGATGATGATGATGATGATGATGATGATGATGATGATGATGATGATGATGATGATGATGATGATGATGATGATGATGATGATGATGATGATGATGATGATGATGATGATGATGATGATGATGATGATGATGATGATGATGATGATGATGATGATGATGATGATGATGATGATGATGATGATGATGATGATGATGATGATGATGATGATGATGATGATGATGATGATGATGATGATGATGATGATGATGATGATGATGATGATGATGATGATGATGTGATGATGATGATGATGATGATGATGATGATGATGATGATGATGATGATGATGATGATGATGATGATGATGATGATGATGATGATGATGATGATGATGATGATGATGATGATGATGATGATGATGATGATGATGATGATGATGATGATGATGATGATGATGATGATGATGATGATGATGATGATGATGATGATGATGATGATGATGATGATGATGATGATGATGATGATGATGATGATGATGATGATGATGATGATGATGATGATGATGATGATGATGATGATGATGATGATGATGATGATGATGATGATGATGATGATGATGATGATGATGATGATGATGATGATGATGATGATGATGATGATGATGATGATGATGATGATGATGATGATGATGATGATGATGATGATGATGATGATGATGATGATGATGATGATGATGATGATGATGATGATGATGATGATGATGATGATGATGATGATGATGATGATGATGATGATGATGATGATGATGATGATGATGATGATGATGATGATGATGATGATGATGATGATGATGATGATGATGATGATGATGATGATGATGATGATGATGATGATGATGATGATGATGATGATGATGATGATGATGATGATGATGATGATGATGATGATGATGATGATGATGATGATGATGATGATGATGATGATGATGATGATGATGATGATGATGATGATGATGATGATGATGATGATGATGATGATGATGATGATGATGATGATGATGATGATGATGATGATGATGATGATGATGATGATGATGATGATGATGATGATGATGATGATGATGATGATGATGATGATGATGATGATGATGATGATGATGATGATGATGATGATGATGATGATGATGATGATGATGATGATGATGATGATGATGATGATGATGATGATGATGATGATGATGATGATGATGATGATGATGATGATGATGATGATGATGATGATGATGATGATGATGATAGTGATGATGATGATGATGATGATGATGATGATGATGATGATGATGATGATGATGATGATGATGATGATGATGATGATGATGATGATGATGATGATGATGATGATGATGATGATGATGATGATGATGATGATGATGATGATGATGATGATGATGATGATGATGATGATGATGATGATGATGATGATGATGATGATGATGATGATGATGA